GGGGAGCATGCATACTCGTCCTCCTACATCTTGTTGCCGCAGACCGTAGGCACGCATGCAGTTCAGCTCGGTGTGTTCACGATGGACGTCGTTGGAGTTCCCTTACTCTTGGGGATAAAGACCCTCCGAAGGCTCAAGGCAGTTCTGGACTTTGATCGTTGTGTGGCCGTGTTTGTCGCTGTCGATGCAGGCCTCGCCATCGACCTGAAGCGTAGCCGCACCGGACATGTCCTGATAGACTTGAAGGGAGACTGGCTGTCAGAAGGAACACGCCTGGACTCCTTGCCACGGCAGATCGGCACTCCTGCGTTCGTCGAGGAAAACTACTACGGAGAAGCCTTTGTTGTGCAGTCTTTCTGTGATGAGCCCCGAGAACCCCAAGACAGGGAACCCCCACCTTCTGATCATGCTGCGCTGTCTGATCGTGATGTTCCGGTTGTTCAGTGTCTACCAGCGAAGCATCAGGATGGAAGTGAGAAGCATGGTGATGTGAACTACATGTCTGCGCCGAAGACTTCTGGCCCGAGTGCGTCAATGAACTCCCTCGGTGCCCTTGTGACCTTGGTCTCCTTGCATGGCCTCGTCGGTGGATCCGCAGGGGGGGTATCCCTCAGCGACCAACCACCCGAAGTCCGAGGCCAAGAGCAAAGCCAAGAAGAAGCCTACGACAGCACCGCCGCTCGATGTCCATCGAGCCGAAGGCCCAGATCCTCGAGACCCTCGATCCAAGGGTCCGCCTTGCCTTGGAGCTCATGCGCCGGACCCACCAGGGAAGGGCTCACTATCGGGGAGCAACCAACATGGACAATGGACGACGTGCCGCCGGTGCAAACTAAGGTTGAGCTATGTTCCCCGAGCAGGAGCACACGCTCGCTATCGCAAGGCGGGCCCCCTGACAGCGGATGTGACCGAGGCCCACCAGGACATCCCCGAGAATGCCACGGATGCCGAGTTCCCGGTGGACCGAGACATATCCCTGGCCGCGGCGGAAGTGTCGGCGAGGAACCAACTGGAACGCATTCAGTCGATGCGGAAGGGAGCTGGTTCCAAGGCCAAGAGCAAGCCACCACCTTCGGAGCCCAAGAGCACTCGCTCAGAGGAGGAGTCGACTGGCAGCAGCCCGCTGTCACCGGGAACCATCGTGATTCCGGATGCCGAGATCCCAGCCCATCCTGGACGAAAGGCCTCTCGCCCGAACGAGGTGATCCCCGAGAACCTGGAGTACGACTCCCGAGCTCCGAAGGAGGGGACACAGGCTTCCACGTGACCTTCATCAACGAGGACGAGATCGAGGCGCTGGCGAAGGAGCTCAACAGGGACTCGAAGTTCGACTATGACACGGCCGAGGCGTTCCTGGAGAAGATGAACCCCAGAACCTGGACGCCTACCCGGACGGCCTCCACCGGAACTTCCCCTACGTCCTTCTCGGTTACCTTCGGTCTCTTTGCGCATGGGAACATGGCTGGCTTGACGCGGGCCACCAGACAAATGCCGTTGACTTGCCAGTACTTGAATGGATGCTTGAAGCAATGGCGGCCGGAGTCGAAGGTCACCTGACCTGGACCTCCTTCACCGTTGGCCTCAATGTCAAGTCCAAGATCCACATCGATGCGCATAACTATGACAAGTCGTGGAATATGACGTGCACCCTCGGATCTTTCTCCGGAGGAGAGCTATGGTTGGAGATGTTGGAAGATGATGGGCCAATGCCTTCGAGAATTCAATGGGAGACGAAGAACAATGGCGAACGAGCCCCTGGACGTCTACTGTCTTCGTGGAGGAACCCTGTCATCTTCCACCCGAAGACCTACCACAAGACCCGAGCTTGGAGGGGAAGGAGATGGTTGATGGCTTCGTTCACTGCCCGATCTATCAAGAGTTTGGATGTTGATGACCGAGCCTTTCTGAGGCGTGTGGGCTTCCCTCTTCCTTCTGAGTCGACCACACGACCCGAGACCCAGCAAGACATGCTGGCAACGATCGAGGACAATGCATGAGGAGACGAAGGATCTGGCGCAGCCCTTACTCCCTGAGGACCAGGAGTCTATCACCGAACCCCTCCTGGCCATTCATGACAGTCTCGAGGACATCTTTCTGGAGTACCCGAGCCCGGCTCAGCAAGACGTCCTTCATCTCTGTGATCCTTGGATAGAGCAAGATCGGTGTGAGAATGACATGCAAGACGCCGGACTCCGGACCACCTACGCCG